TCCAAAAAAAAAAAGTTATAGCAAGAAATACACAGAAACTACATTTAGTCAGCATGACTTACTAATAGGAACATTACAAAGTTATCTGACTTCTTTGGAAGGCAAAGACCTTATAGAGGATAGTGCAATTTAGGGATTTGGACCTGGTCCTGCTTGAGTTTAGAGGGGCTTTGCCTTGATTAAAAGCCTCAAACAAAGGACAGAATAAGAGGATAAATATAAAGTATTAAGTTCTTCTTGTATGTATGTGGTGATTATCTCCTACTAAGATAAAAGCTACTTATAAAAGACTATATCGGCCGGGCACGGTGGCTCACGCCTGTAATCCTAGCTCTCTGGGAGGCCGAGACGGGCGGATTGCTCAAGGTCAGGAGTTCAAAACCAGCCTGAGCAAGAGCGAGACCTCATCTCTACTATAAATAGAAAGAAATTAATTGGCCAGCTAATATATATAGAAAAAATTAGCCGGGCATGGTGGCACATGCCTGTAGTCCCAGCTACTCGGGAGGCTGAGGCAGGAGGATCGCTTGAGCCCAGGAGTTTGAGGTTGCTGTGAGCTAGGCTGACGCCACGGCACTCTAGCCTGGGCAACAAGTGAGACTCTGTCTCAAAAAAAAAAAAAAAAAAAAAAAAGACTATATCTTTTCTTTCTTTCTTTTATCTATCAATAGTTCAGCTGCTCAATTAATGAACTAACTACCTAACAGAAATCAAGGTTTTAAAAATATAGTCAGCCTTTTTTTCAAATACTAATTTATAATACAAGAATGCTGAAACTAAAGCCCTGGCTTCCAAATTCTGCCATGTAAATGAACTAGTTAAGAATTCATAGTTCTAGTTCTAGTCACCTGCTATATAAAAACCCAGGTTTAGCAGACCTTGGCATTGTCTAACAAGCTAATTAGCTAAATTAGCTTGATTAGCTAAAACTAATCAAGGTACCCTAAAGCAGAATACTATACTTCCCTAACAAATCTAATGAAAAAAAATGTCCCAATGAAAGGAGAGAAATTGAACACATCTGGGATTCCTTTTAGGAATCTGTGGATGTCTATTTTAGAACCAACTGCCAGAGCTCAATTACCACAAACTTTCTTCACATCTAACTGTTTGGAATAAACAGTTTGCCTTCCAGATGAGGTCAGTTCCCATAAGGATATGGCCTGGATGAGACTGCTGACCTTTTCTCACTCCTTGGGAAGGCATTATACATATTTACTCCAACATGCTTTAACACAATCCAGTGTTCCCCACAATTCTCATATCCAATGGACCTAGTTCTGGGTTTTCTTTTAATGTTATGATCTGGAAAATGTTACTATTTCTGACAACTACAATAACTAAAAATTTTAGTTACTTTTACTCTACTTTTCCCAGTTTATTTACAAAGATAGAATATCTTAAGGCCACCAGACATGGTGGCTCAAACCTGTAATCCCAGCACTTTGGGAGCCCGAGGGGGGAGGATCACGTGAGGCCAGGAGTTTCAGACCAGCCTGGTTCTCACAGAGAGACCCCATCTCAACAAAACAAACAAAAAATTTAGCCATGCATGGTGGTGGGCCTGTCCCAGCTATGTGGGAGGACCACCTGAGCCCAGGAGTTTGAAGTTGCAGTGAGCTATGATATGGCCACTGCCTTTCAGCCTGGGCGACAGAGCAAGATCCTATCTCAACAAAACAAAACAAAACAAAACAAAACAAAAACAACATTTTAGGACTAAAGTAAAACACATATGACATGAAAGAGTAACAAGTCTGAGGTCTACTACAGAGTTTGGCCTTAGATAAGTCATTTTACTTCTCTTTACTTCAATTTTCCAATTTCTAAGATTGTAAAAATAATATTTAATCTATAATATCATGTTATAATAAGCAATTACTGGTTTAATCTTGGCTGAGCTCATTTCAACAAAATCTATAGAGCTCAGATTATGTTTTAGTGCAAGGGTTGGCAACCTATATAGCCTGTGAGGCAAGTCTGGCCCATGGCCTATGTTGTATGGCCCAAAAGCTAAAATAGTTTAAAGGATTGTAAAGTGAAGAGAAGGAGGAGAAAGGGAGAGGTGATGGGGGTGTACAGTTTGTATGAGGCCTACAGAGTCTAAAATATTTACTAACTGGCCCTTTACAGAAATAGTTTGCTGACTCATGTTCTAGTGGATTCAGCTATCATGAAAGCATTTTTAGAAATAATATTTTTCAATAAATATAATAACCATAAATCATATATTTCCAAGTCATATTATGGGGAGTTAAGGGAAAAAGAATGAGGATATTTCCTTAGAGATCATTTACTTAATAAATTGAAGTAGTCCCAGCTGCCAGGGAGGCTAAGGCAGGCAGGAGGATTGCTTGAGCCCAGGAGTTGGAGGTTGTAGTGGGCTGTGATTGTATCATTCACTTTACCAGGGGCCAGGCACAGTGGCTTGCGCCTGTAATCCTAGCACTTTGGGAGGCTGAGGCAGGAGGATTACTTGGGGCCAGAAGCTAGAGATCAGTCTGAGCAAAAGTGAAACCTTGTCTTTATAAAAAATAGAAACATTAGCCAGGCATGGTGATGCACACTTATAGTGCCAGCTAATCAGGAAACTAAGGCAGGATGGTTGCTGGAGCCCAGGAGTTCGAGGTTGCAGTGAGCTATGAAGATGCCACTGCACTCTAGCCTGGGCGACAGAGTGAGACCATCTCAGAAAAAAGAAGAAAAGAAATGGCATTTCCTATTTTTTCACATGAATAGCCAATTTCCCCAACACCCTTTATTGAATAACTCATCAATCAGTAATCTGAAATGTCATCTTTAATTATATATCAAATTAATCCTTATATATGGGATCTGTTTTATTTAATTGATTTACCTATTTTGGTGCCAATTCTACATTGTGCATTCATTACTATGACTTTCAGAATCAGCTTGTCAAGTTCCTAGAAAAATATGATTGAGATTTTAATTGAATTACAATGAATTTATAAATCAATTCAAGAAAATGGATTTTTTAATATTGAGTCCTCCTAACATGAACATGGTATATTTCTCCAAGATCTTCTTCAATGTTTTTCAATAAAATTTAAAATTTTTCCTCATGAATATCTTATACATATTTTGCTAGATTTATTCCTACATACTCAGACCAGCATTTTAGTCCTAAAATGTTGTTTTTGTTTTGTTTTGTTTTGTTTTGTTTTGTTTTGTTGAGACAGGATCTTGCTCTGTCACCCAGGCTGAAAGGCAGTGGCCATATCATAGCTCACTGCAACTTCAAACTCCTGGGCTCAGGTGGTCCTCCCACATAGCTGGGACAGGCCCACCACCATGCATGGCTAAATTTTTTGTTTGTTTTGTTGAGATGGGGTCTCTCTGTGAGAACCAGGCTGGTCTGAATATGTAGGAATAAATCTGAGTATGTAGGAATAAATCTGAGTATTTTTGATGTTATTGTAAATGATATTTGAAATGTTTTCTCACCTATTACGGCTGAAGTATAGAAATGATTTAATCTTGTATATTAATCTTATGCCCAAACTACCTTGTTAAACTCAATTATTACTTCCAATAATTTATTGTTATATACTTTGGTATTTCCTATGAAGATAAACATATTACCTGTCAATGTTTCTTCCTTTTCAGTTCTTATATCTCTTCCTTTTCTTGACTTACTTCCCTATCTAGGACTTCCTGTAAAATGCTGAATAGAAGTGGTAATAGTAGACATCCTTATCTTGTTCCTGGTTTTAGAGAGAATTTTCTGAAGAGTTAATGTTGTGAATGTTTTTCAATATATGTTTTTTTGTAGATTCCCTTTAACAAATTAGGAAAGTTTTCTTTTAAGTTTGCTAAGAGCTTTTGTCACAAATGAGTACTGGATTCAAATGCTTGTTCTGCATCTATTGAGATGATGATAGCTCCACGCCCCCAACTGTTAATAGGTAACTTACATTGATTTTATGTATTTTGTTTTTGTTTTTTGGAGACAAGGTCTCACTCTATAGACTGGGCTAGATAGCAGTGACATCATCTAACTCCTGGCCTCAAGTGATCCTCCTGCTTTGGATTCTTTTTTTTTTTTTTTTTTTTTGAAACAGAGTCTCACTTCGTTGCCCAGGCTAGAGTGAGTGCCGTGGCGTCAGCCTAGCTCACAGCAACCTCAAACTCCTGGGCTCAAGTGATCCTTCTGCCTCAGCCTCCCGAGTAGCTGGGACTACAGGCATGCGCCACCATGCCCGGCTAATTTTTCTATATATATTAGTTGGCCAATTAATTTCTTTCTATTTATAGTAGAGACGAGGTCTCGCTCTTGCTCAGGCTGGTCTCGAACTCCTGACCTCAAGCAATCCACCTGCCTCGGCCTCCCAGAGTGCTAGGATTACAGGCGTGAGCCACTGTGCCCAGCCTGCTTTGGATTCTTAAAGTGCTGGGATTACAGGTGTGAGTCACCACACTTGGCCAGGATTTGTTTTCTGTTAAACCACTCTTGTATTCATGGAGTAAGTCCAACTAATTCATGCATATTATCATTGAATACACTGCTTTATTAGGTTTACTGACAATTTATTTAGAATTTTTGTATCTATGATAATGAGTGAGATTGGCCTTTGATTTTCTTTCTCTCCCTCTCTGGTTTTGGTATCGAGGTTATTATGTCCTTATGGAAAGAGCTGGAGAATATTTCCACTTTTTCTCTTCTGGAAAAGTTAATGTAACATTTAAATAATCTAATCTTTGAAAATCTGGAAGAACACAAAGCTATCTAGGCTAGGTGCTTTAACTACAGACTAAGTTTCTTGTGTAGATTTTATCTACACAAGAGAAATGTGTAGAGAGAAAGGGTTCTGTGTATTTTTATGCTTGAGATAGATCCAATGTACCATACAACAGAATTTTTATACATGCAAAAAAATGGAATTAGGAACTTTGAATTCTAACCCTAGCTTGCCTTCCTTGCAACTTAAGTATAAGGCCCAAATCCTGAGTGGGCGGGAGGTGCCAAGAAGGTGTGGGCCATGGCGGCAACCGAGGATCGGAGTTCAGAGGACAGAGAAGAGGAAGAAGAAGAAGAAGAGGAGCAGTTGGTTCTGGTGGAATTGTCAGGAATTATTGACTCAGACTTTCTCTCAAAATGTGAAAATAAATGCAAGGTTTGGGAATTGACACTGAGAGGCCCATTCTGCAAGTGGACAGCTATGTCTTTGCTGGGGAGTATGAAGATACTCTTGGAACTTGTGTTATATTTGAAGAAAATGTTGAACATGTAGATGCAGAAGGCAATAATAAAACAGTACTAAAATATAAATGCCATACAATGAAGAAGCTCAGCATGACAAGAACTCTTCTGACAGAAAAGAAGGAAGAAGAAAACATAGGTGGGGTGGAATGGCTGCAAATCAAGGATAATGACTTCTATAGACCCAACATGATTTGTAGCTTTCTGCATGAAAATGAAGGTGAAGAAGTGGTAGCTCCAGCCCCAGATAAACCTTTGCAGTTGGAAGAGCAAGAGATTCACATGAAAGACAGTTCAAACCTGAGTTATGAACAGGAGAAGCCATTGCACTTGGAAATAGAGGATTCTGGTCCTCTTATTGAAATCCCTTCTGAGACAGAAGGTTCTGTTTTTATGGAAACTCAAGATGCTGCCTTAGAAATCACTCCTAGATGAAATGTTTCTCATAATAACTAGTCATGAACTTTATAGAGTTTTTATATAAAATAATTGGCTGTGTAGCTTTCAAAAAAAAAAGGCCAAAATCTTGTAATTTTTATATTTTTATATTCTTGGGGCATAAACAATATATGGTATATAGTGCATAAACAGTATATATAAACAGCATATAGGAAGTGTAATCTTCATTTTGTTCTTCAAAATGGGAATAGCTACACAGATAAAACTATAAGTTAGTATGACCAATCTAAATGAGACTTTTGTATGTTTTGGCCTATATTCTGAAAACAAAAATTGACAACTTTTCCGCACAATCAATAAAGTATATTAAGATGTTTGCAAACATAACTGAGAATTTGTTGTTGCTAATAGGGATTACGAGACCTCCCCAATAAATAACCAGGGCATTTTGAAAATTTTTTTCCTGCCTTTTGGAATAAAATTAATTGTGAAAGGTCAGGTGTGTTGGGTAGATGGGAGGAGGAACCAGAAGCAAACTTAAATTAGGCAGTAGGCTAAAGGTGGGAGGAGGTGAAGAGAGCCAGAACCTGGTAATTTAAGGTGACAGACACTAATAATAAGTGTCTTTGAATTTAAAAGCTGAAGCAAGAAAGGACATAATTAAATTACAAGAGGACAAAGAGGGATAGAGAAAAACTAAAAGGTGCTCTCAGGTGAGCCTTCCACTACAGCTGGGTACTGTTCTCACAGAGTTCCCTAGAGAGCCTTCCACCATCAAGTGACATTTGAGGTATTAAACATGTGAGATGGGATTGGACACCTTGAGCATATGATCCTTAGTGGGCTGAGAGTGCACACTTCCTGCTGAACTAGTTTCTTATCCTACAGTCTGATCCCTGAGCTCAGGTGTTTGCCTGTCCTCCAGTACTTTCCTAACTTCTATTGTTCTGTTATTAAAAAGAATGAGGAGAACCAACACATCAGTTTCTGCTATGGGGTATGCAATTTTTTTTTTTTTTTTTTTGAGACAGAGTCTTGCTTGTTGCCCAGGCTAGAGTGAGTGCCATGGCGTCAGCCTAGCTCACAGCAACCTCAAACTCCTGGGCTCAAGCAATCCTGCTGCCTCAGCCTCCCGAGTAGCTGGGACTACAGGCATGCGCCACCATGCCCGGCTAATTTATATATATATTAGTTGGCCAATTAATTTCTTTCTATTTATAGTAGAGACGGGGCCTCGCTCTTGCTCAGGCTGGTTTCGAACTTCTGATCGAGCAATCCGCCCGCCTCAGCCTCCCAGAGTGCTAGGATTACAGGCGTGAGCCACCGCACCCGGCTTGGGGTATGCAATTTACCTTCAAAAAACTACTCTGCCTGAGAGAAGTGAGAAAGGGATCTATATTTATTGAGTGGGTACTATATGCTAAGCAGAGTACTAGGTGTCATTTAATTTAATCTTCATAACACTGTCAACCAAGTATAATTATTGCAAAGTAAGAAGCTGAGGCTTAGAGAAACTAAGAAACTTGCCCCCTGACTCATAGTTAAGATTAAGAAGTAAAAGAGACAGAATACAAAAGAATTTTGACTTCAAAGCTACATTTATTCCACCAGAGTAAGGGATCCCTCCCAATAAGTGTTTATGCCTGATATTTTCTTCCCTCTTAGAAATGCATTTGTAACATTTCTACATTTCTACAAGAGTTACTTTTTACTGAAACAATTTAACTTTCTGCATACTCAGAATCTGACAAAAATCCCTAAAGTTTATGAAGTGCAGGAATATTAGTGTACATGTATTTAAAATCCTAGGGGTGAAAGGAAGTATGCTAATCCTGCCAACAATAAGTTTTTAAAAAAAGAAAATCACTTCCTCCTTCATTTATTGGAATTGCTTGGAAGCAGAAGTCAGGAAATCCCCTTCCTTGATTTGTGGTATTTATGTGGCTAACTGTTGTTCCCAAAGAACAGAATTTATTCTGCTTTACCCTTTGAAATTTTCAGGTCTTTCATTCTTCTTTAATAAAGCATAGTTCAGGTTATTTTAAAGATTTCCCCATGACAAGACTTTACTCCCTTTTCCATATTCTGAGAAAAATGAAGCTATAAGCAAAGAATACCTAATTACTTCTTATACCTAAAAATGTATATTCACTACAATGATAACTTACTATCCTAGGAATTAGTTGCATGAAAATATCTTTAATGCTGTCAACGGAAAAAAGCCAAACTCTGTAAAATAATTTTAACGAGATTTATTCTGAGCCAAATTTGAGGACCATGACCTGGAGCCACTCCCAAGAGGCCTTGAGCAGTGGACTCGATGTGACTGGGTTACAGTTTGGTTTTTATATATTTCGGGGAAATATGGGTTACAGGTAAAATCATAAATCAATACGTGAGAGGCATCCATGGGTTTGGCCCAAAAAGGTGGGACATCTGGGGCGGGGAATGGCTTACAGGTTATAGGTGGGTTTAAAGATTCTTTGGATTGTAATTGGTTAAAGTTTGTCTAAAGGCTTGGAATGTTTTAACATAAGGAGTTGTTGCCACCGATATAGATTTGTTGTATAAATTGAGGACCTGCAGGATTGTCTTGCATACCCTTTGGCCTGTTAATGGGTTACATAGGATGTTTCCAAGAAGGGAGAGGGGCATGATGAGGCCTGTCTGACCTCCTGGCAGACAATTTAGTTTTAGGATATATCTTTGGCCATGAGGGGGTCCATTCAGTCAGCTGGTGGGGAGTGAACCTTAAAATTTTATTTTAGTTCACAATGCATACATATATTTCCAGTTAGAGTAATAGATGTTTGCAAAGAATGCAAATTTTTCACATGCATAGGACTCAGCCCTTTTTCATAATGCCCAAGAATAAGTTCAGAGTTCTTTTCGCCAAAGTAAAATAAATTATTTTCATAAGGTTATCATAGAAATATATAGTTAAATAGAGTAAAACAGAATTTCCAAAAATATACCCACAGAAATATATTTATTTAATTTTCAACAAAGGGGCCAATGTAATTCAACTGGAGAAAGAACAGCCTTTTCAACAAACGGTGTTGGAACAACTAGATATCCATGTGGAAAAACTTTGACCTTTACCTCATACCATGTATCAAAAATTAACAGGAAGTAGATCATAGACCTATAGGTAAGAGCTAAAACTATAAAACTTCTAAAACTATAAAATGTATGAGAAAATATTTGTGGCCCTGAGTTAGACAAAGATTTCTTATCTTAGACAAGGTGGCATAAAGAGAAAAAATAAAAAGACAAAGATTTCTTAAATGGGATACAAAAAACACAAGCCATAAAAGAAAAAATTGACAAATTGTCCTTCATAAAAATTTTAAACCTCTGCTTTTTGATGATACTATTAAGAAAAACTAAGAAATAGACATAGACTGGTAGAAAAGACTTTTAAAGCATATATCTGATAAAGAACTTGTATCCAGATTATATGGATAATTTTTACAAGTCTATAATAAGACAAATAACCCAATTAGTAAATGGGCAAAAATTTGAGAAGATACTCCACTCAATAACATATATGAAAGGCAAATAAGTATATAAAAAGATGCACAACATCATTAGTTATTAGGAAAATGCAAATTAATCACAATGAGATATACCACCCACTAGAATGGTTAAAATTTAACAGACTAGCAATACAAAGTACAATAGAGGATGGGGAGCAACTAGAACTCTCATACATTGCTGGTGGGAATGCAAATAGTACACCAACTTTGGAAAAGTTTGGCAGTTTTTTAAAAAGTTACATGCACATTTTTATACTACCCAGAAATCCCACTCCTAAGTAATTACAGAATAAATGGAAACACATATCCATATAAAGATTGACATGTAAATACTAACAGCAGCTTTATTCATAAATAGCCCCAAACTAGAAACAACACAAATGTCCATCAACCGGTGAATTGATATATTGAATTAATATGTGCATACAATGGAATGTACTACTTAGCATTAAAAGGGAATGAACTGGGCAAGGTGGCTCAATACCTGTAAGCCCAGCACTTTGTGAGGCCAAGATAGGAGGATCTTGAGGCCAGGAGTTTGAAACCAGCCTGGGCAACATAGCACAACCCTGTTTCTACAAAAATCAAAAGGAAGAAATATTAGCTAGGTGTAGTGGCATATGCCTGTAGTCCCAGCTATTCAGGAGGCTAAGGTAGGAGGATTGCTTGAGCCCAGGAATTCAAGGTTCCAGTGAGCTGTGATTGTGGCCCTTCATTCTAGCCTGGGCAACAGAGCAGGACTCTGTCTCTAAAAATAAATAAATTAATTAATTAAATAAAAAGGAATGAACTACTGATGCATGCAACAACATAGATAATCTCAAAAGCATTAGGCTAAGTGAAAGAAGCCAGAGCCAGGCACAAATGACTACATACATTTATATGAAATTCTAGTAAAGTCAAAATGTTAACAACAAAAAGTAGATCCGTGGTTGCTTTGGGCAAGGTGAGGGATTGGGAGAAGAGATTGATGGCAAAGGGGCACAAAAGAAAGTTTAGGGATGACAGAAATATCCTACATTGTGATAGTAGTTACAATGCTGTATACATTTGTCAAAAACACATCAACATGTATAGTAAAAAATGATGAATCTTAATGTATGTAAGTATATATATATATTTTTTTTTGAGACAGAGTCTCACTCTTGTTGCCTAGACTAGAGTGCCGTGGCATTGGCCTAGCTCATGGCAACTTCAAACTCCTGGGCTCAAGCAATTCTGCTGCCTCAGCCTCCCAAGTAGCTGGGACTACAGGCATGCGCCACCATGCCCGGCCAATTTTTTCTATATATTTTTAGTTGGCCAATTAATTTCTTTCTATTTTTAGTAGAGACAGGGTCTCACTCTTGCTCAGGCTGGTTCTGAACTCCACTCCTGACCTTGAGGGATCTGCTCACCTCAGCCTCCCAGAGTGCTAGGATTACAAGCGTGAGCCACCTCGCCCAGCCTAAATATATATAATAAAACTGATTTTTCAAAAAATGGTCCTCCTCCTTCATGAGAGAGATTTCGATATAATTGATTTCTGATCATGAGACATTATTAAATATATCCTTTCACTG